TTACTCTTCCTTTTTACTTGCTTTCCCCTCTCTTTTTAAACATACTTGAGTCTGCTATCAAACTAGACAAAGTGCTTGGTAGATCTGGGACTAGGATGAGGTGAGTGAAGCACTAGGGTGCAGAATTTAAGGTGCTCACTTACCTGACTCCAGACCCAACCCAGCTTGATATGGCTCCTTTTTATGGCCCTACTTMATTTTATTTTATTTTGGGGAGGGTCTTCAAACTGTATTTTTCCCACATTATTTTATTGGTGCATTGTAGTTAGTACAGAGTGGTGGGATTTGTTGTTATACATATTTGTAGATGCACACAATATGACTATAATTTGGCCAATATCACTCCCCAGCACTTTCCCACTTCTCCTCCCACTGGTCCTTTTCCTCTGCTGATCTCCCTTTGATTTTCATGAGATCACCTCCCCCGACCCTTTTTCATTTTCCTCTTTAGCTTCATATGAGAGAACATATGATCCTTGACCTTCTGAGTTTGACTTTTTTCACTTAACATAATTATAAGTTCCATTCATTTTCTTGCAAATGATTCTTACTTGCTTCTTTATGACTGAATAAAACCACACACACACACACACACACACACACACATACACACACACACACTACATTTTCTTCATTCATCCATTGACACCTAGGTTGGTTCCATAATTTGGCTATTGTGAATTGTGCTGCTATAAACATGGGTATGCATGTATCACTACAGTTTGCTGAGTTTAATTCTTAGGATAAATATTGAGGAGTGGTACAGCTGGGTCATATGGTGGTTCCATTCCTAGTCTTTTGAGGAAATTCCATAGTGATTTTCATTGTGATTGTAATAATTTATACTCCCACCAACAATAGAAAAGTGTTGTTTTTTTTTCTCCACATCCTGTTCAGCATTTATTATTATTTGTGTTCCTGACGACTGTCATTCTGACTGGTGGGATTTGAAATCTCAGTGTAGTTTTTAAAAATTAATTAATTTTAATTAAGTGTATATGACAGCAGAGTGCATTTTGATTCATTGTACACAATTGCAACACAATTTTTCATTTCTCTGGTTGTACACAATGTAGCATCACACCATATATGTAGTAATACATGTACCTAAGGTAATGATGTCCATCTCATTCCACCATCTTTCCTGCCCCCGTGCACGCTCCTAACCCTCCCCTTTGCCCAAAGTTCCTCCATTTTTTCCATCCCCCTATGTGGATCAGCAAGCACTTATCAGAGAGAACATTTGGCCTTTGTTTTTTGGGGATTGGCTTTCTTCGCTTAGCATGATATTCTCCAACTCCATCCACTTACCTGCAAATGCCATTATTTTATTCTCTCTTAATTCGGAGTGATATTTCATTGTGTATATGTACCACAGTTTCTTTATTCATTCATCTATTGAGGGTTGCTTCCACAGTTTAGCTATTGTGAATTGAGCTGCTATGAACATTGATGTGGCTACATTACTATGATTTGCATTTGTCTAATTACTAATGATGTTGAACATTTTTTTCATAATTTCTTGGTCATTTGTATTTTTTTCTTTTGAAAAGTATCTGTTAATTCATTTGCCCATTTAGTAATTGTTTTTTTTTTTTTTTTTTAAGATTGAAAGTTGTTATGTTTTTCTTCTCACCTCCCCCACAGCCCTGAAATGGGGATTGAACCCAGGGACAGGGACTTCATCATTGATCTACATTCCCAGTTCATTTTATATTTTTTCCCCACATTTTTTATTGGTGGCATTATAGTGGTATATATTAGTAGAATTTGTTGTTACATATTTGTACATGCAATATGACAATATAATTTGGCCAATATCACTCCCAAGCATTTTCCTCTTCCCTCTTTCTCATTCCTTCCTACTTTATTTTAAATACCCTCAAAGCCAGTCCTTCATTATGTTTTTTAAACTTGGTACTGTCTGCTGAAACTACTCAAGTACAAACTATAACTTTTTTTTAGTACTGAGGATTGAGCTCGGGGGTGCTTAACCATTGAGCCATATCCCCAACCTTTTTTACATTTTATTTAAAGACCGGGTCATATGAGTTGCTTAGGGCCTCACTAAGTTGCTGAAGCTGGCTTTGTACTCCTCCTGCCTTAGCCTCTCAAGCTGCTGGGATTACAGGCATGTGTCACTGCTCCTGGCTACAAAGTTCCTTTTTGGGGAGGGGAGGTACTGGAGATTGAACTCGGGGCACTCAACCACTGAGCCATATACCCAGCCCAATTTGTGTTTTTTTAGAGACAGGGTCTCACTGAGTTATTTAGTCCCTCACCATTGCTAAGGCTGGCTTTGAACTTGCAGTCCTCCTGTCTTTGCCTCTCAGCCACTGGAATTACAGGCATGTATCACTGCACACCTGACTGGAGCTACAAAGTTCTTATTGATTAAATCCATTGCTCTATTTTTTCCCCTTTCCCCTAAGCAGGTCAACAACTTTCTTTGGTCAACAACTTTCTTAGCTTTGGTCAACAACTTTCTTAGCTTTACTATTTCCCATGTAAAAAACAGGGACTATACCTGCCTCATAATTGTGATGATTGATGTTAACAAGCCATGACTTCTAATTTTTTTTTTTTTAACAGCAGCTACATTAGAGTACATTCTGTGTACTAGGTATTATTTTAGCTGTTGCTTTTGCTTGCTTTGCCTTTCAGAGGCGGTCAAAAAATATAACTAAGAGCAGTTAGGTTTATCGTTGTATCACTAACTTTTWCTTTGGACCTAGCAGCAAGAGATTTTAACTTATGTAACTTGTCAATGTGTTTTTCCATAAAAATAGAACAATTATAAGTCTGTGCTTTATTTTTACCTATTTATTTTAAGACTGTGTCTCAAATTGTTGCCCAGGCTGTCTTGAACTTCTAGGCTCAAATGATTCTTCTGTGTTGGCCTCCCAGTTAACTGGGATTACAGGCATATGCCACCTCTCTGGCTCTCTGTGCTATGTTTAAATACATACTTGTACTGTCGTGAGAAGAGTTCATGGTAGGGGCTGGGGATGTGGCTCAAGCGGTAGYGCGCTCACCTGGCATGCRTGTGGTGCTGGGTTCAATCTTCAGCACCACATACAAATAAAAGATGTTGTGTCCGCTGAAAACAAACAAAMAAAAATTTAAAAAAAGAAAGAGTTCATGGTAATCACTGTATTGCTGATTTTATTTTTTACTTAGGAAAAATGGAGTTAACTTGAAATGGAAAGATAGTTCTCCTTAAATTTTGTACTTTTCCCCTATAAAATGAAGTATATATGTCCAATGCCAATTTAAACTTATTTTTAACCTTAAACCCTTGAAATTTCATGTTGTTTCTTTTAAAAACAGAGCACACTTACTAGTAGTGCATTTCAGTTTGAATTCCCTATGCCCCCCACCTGGTTCTATCCTGCAGATTGGTTTACTTTACTTTTTGAGACAGGGTCTTACTAAGTTGCTTAGGGCCTTGCTGATTTGCTGAGGGTAGAACTTGGCGATTCTCCTGCCTCAGGCTTAGTTGCTGGGATTACAGGTGTGTGCAGTCACACTCTGAATTCCTTATTCCCTTGAAAATAAATAATAAAATTCTTAAGCCTATTTTGTGCTGTTTGGGACATTTTGTTGAGCAGAGAGAAAATGGTATCTTGCTGACATTATAGTTAGCGATTTTATAACCTTTGATAATATGGGATTTGGGGTAGAATTTATTAAAATTTTTATTTTTAGTTTTAGTTTTTGATAGAACTTTATATTTTTTTATTTATATATGGTGCTGAGAATCAAACCTAGTGTCTCACACATGCTAGGTAAATGTGCTACCGCTGAGCACCAGCCCCTAGAATTTATTTTCAAAGTTTTGTTATGTCTTTTTGTATGCCTCTATAGAGCACATGTGTTTAGGTATTCATTTGGATAACTTTTCACTATAGCTTCACCGCCATCCATTTCATCTGATATACCATTCTTATTTATTCATTTACTCTCTAGACATTTTTAAGTTTCTACTATTGTCAGGCCTTAGTCCTGGATGCTAAGGAAATATCATCATGTGCCTTAGAGAACTTTAGCCTAGTAATAGAATCACTTATATAAGCAGAAAATAACAGTATAGCAGGATAAGTGCTAAAACAAAGACATGAAAAATATACAGTAAAAATAGTTTAAAAACTGAATTATTGGAAAACGGAATCCACTGTTTTCATGTATGTTGTGGCATGTAGATCAAATTTTTGGACTTTCAACCTGGCCTTCTAAGTGGAGTAAAGGTAATATACGTCTAGCTCTGTTCTTTTCCTAATGGTTTAGTGAAAAGAGCCTGAATTTTTAGAAACCCATATATTTGGGTTTGACTTTCATCTGCTACTTAGGTTATGTGGCCATACTAAGTTATTTAAACTTTCTGAACTGGTCTTCTCGTATGTAAAGCAGAAAAGATGACACCTGTGGAGTTGTAAAAAGAAAAAAAAATGGCAGCCCATATGAAAAATAACAAATTTAGGATCTGATACATAARGGACCAAAAAAGGTATAGTTTAAGTCCTATACATTCCAGAGTTACTACAGAATGTAATATTGATAATGTTACTGATATTCTTCCTACATCTAGTGTTTGAGGTGGACTGTTTGTTTCAAATATACTTATAATTTTCCCCCCACAAAACCAGAAATGTTCTTGAAGGCACGTTATCACCTTTGCTATCTATATAGCGCACTCTCCTGGAGACTCAGCGTTTGATGAATACCTGACAATTTCATCATTAACAGTGGATGTGTACCTGGTGTATACTTTATCTTACATCTTTCTTAATCCTGGGGGGAAGTCAATGAATCTGTGAACATTAATTTTAAATTTATTTGGTTATTTAAGTGATTAACTTTTAAGTTTAAAATCATTAGAATTGTCAATGATTTGTCCTTTAAGCAAATCATAAGGAAGGGAGGGGTTATAGTAATATATTGTTAATATTATAGATTATTTTATTGGATACTAACATTTTACATTTTATTTTTTCTCTAAGCAAATGGTTATGAGCCTTAGAGTTTCTGAACTACAAGTACTGTTGGGCTACGCTGGGAGAAACAAGCACGGACGCAAACACGAACTTCTCACAAAAGCCCTGCATTTGCTAAAGGCTGGCTGTAGTCCTGCTGTACAAATGAAAATTAAAGAACTCTATAGGCGGCGGTTCCCCCAGAAAATCATGACGCCTGCGGACTTGTCCATCCCTAATGTACATTCAAGTCCTATGCCAGCAACTTTGTCTCCATCCACCATTCCACAGCTCACTTATGATGGTCACCCTGCATCATCACCGTTACTCCCTGTTTCTCTCCTGGGACCTAAACATGAACTGGAACTCCCACATCTTACATCAGCTCTTCATCCAGTCCATCCGGATATAAAACTTCAAAAACTACCATTTTATGACTTATTGGATGAACTGATAAAACCCACCAGTCTAGGTAAGATTATTATAAAAGAGTATTTGGTTTCTTTTGCAGGATAAGTTTTTCATTTGAGACTTTTAATTAGACTCAGTTTATTATTCATAATGAAAAAATTCTTTGATATTGGGAATTAAACCTGGGGTGGTGTAGTACTGAGATATATCCCTATCCCTTTTTAGTTTTTGAGACAAGGTCTTGCTAAATTGTGTAGGCTGGCCTTGAATTTGTGGTCCTGCCTCAGCCTCTGGAGTTGCTGGGATGATAGGCTTATGCCACCACATCCAGCAAGAATATGGACTTCAGAGTAATATTTGATGTTGTTGGTTAATATTTTATAATAACCCTTATAAATTAAAAAAATTATAGCCAAATAAATCACTACCGGTCTCTGAATCCAGTTCTTAATTTTCAGTGAAGACTAACTAATTATGATGACTTGAATGTGTGAATGATTTTAAGTATCATAAAAGGAGACTTGATCTTTGTATAGCATTTAAATTCAGCTGATTTTTTTCCAAATGGATATGTGTGCTTTATAGGCACACACATGATCATGATTATATAATATGAATACTTGAAATTTTATTTACTGTGTTCTCRCACTGTTTTATTAGTTTGTCTAACATGTAGAATTAAATGTATTAATCAGCTTGTAATTTTAAGTGCTATAATGTCACTTAATGTAGAATAAAACTGACCCCTGTGACCTTTAACATCCTTGGTGTAACATTTAAAATATTAGACTTTGGGCTGGGGATGTGGCTCAAGCAATAGCGCTCTTGCCTGGCGSGTGTGCGGCCCGGGTTCAATCCTCAGCACYACATACAAACGAAGATGTTGTGTCYGCCGATAACTAAAAAATAAATATATAAAAATAAAATAAAATATTAGACTTCTAGGGGCTGGGGCTGTAGCTCTGTGGTAAAATGCTTGCCTTGTATGTGTGAGGCACTGGGTTCGATCCTCAGCACCACATAAAAATAAAGATACTGTATGTTCATCTACAACTAAATAAATATTTAAAAAATATTAGACTCTAGATGCTGGTACATTATAAATCGGTGGTGGGCAAAACTATGGCTGGCAAGTTTATCCTAGCATGTGTGGGTTTGGCCAAGAATTTTTTAACAATATTTGTAGAGTTGTAAAAACAAAACAGAATCAAAGAATATGTAACAGAGACCATGTGTGCCTGCAAAGTCTAAAATATTTACTATCTGGGTGCTTAACCATTGAGCCACATCTCTGGCCCTTTTATATATTTTATTTAGAGACAAGGTCTTGCTAAATTGTTTAAGGCCTCACTAAGTTGCTGAAGCTGGCTTTGAACTTACAGTTCTCTTGCCTTGGCCTCCTGAGCCAACTCTCTGGCTCTTAATAGAAAAAGTTTGTTGATGACTGTCATAAATCATTAAGTATTTCAGTTTTGGGAACTGGTGAGTGTTGAATATTTTTTAAGAACATTTACTGAAATCCATCTTTGAACTGGGAAGTGGTGGTTTTTACTTATATTTCATAGAATTTACTGGAGTCAAGATGTCAGGAGTAATTTTCAAATAACATGAATTTTATTCATATTTTATTTAACTGGCCATAACAAAAGAGAATATTTGTTGAGAATCTACCTAATGCTTATAAAACTTATATAAGCTCATTGTGAAAAATAAAAATTATCTCCAGGCACAGTGGCATGCCTGTTATCCCAGATACTCAGGAGGCTGAGGTAGGAAAATTGTAAGTTCAAGGCCAGGCTCAACCACTTAGTAAGAGACCTGTCTCAAAATAAAAAATATAAAGGGCTGCTGATATAACTTAGTGGTAGTGCATCCCTGGTTTCAATCCCCAGTGTACCCCCAGTCGCTAAATCCCCTTCCTTGTTAGCAATTTAGTGTGTATACCCATACAAATAAAAGCAATTTTTTTCTTCTTGTTTGCCCTCCCTGCTTTTCCTCTCTTCCTGATTGAATCCAAGGATAATTTACTACTGACCTATATTGCCAGTCCTTTTTTCATTTTTTATGTTAAGACAGGGTCACACTCAGTTGCTAAGGGTCTCACTATATTGCTGAAGCTGACCTTAAATTTGTAATTCTTCTGCCTCATGTTCCCAACTTGCTGGGATTACACGCATGTGCCACTGTGCCTGGCTGGTAACAGAAGGAATCATGTACCTAGTATTGTGTGATTTGCCTTGTATTTTTTCCCCTCATTAGTATAAATATCTTTTCTTGTCTGATCTCTTATTTTAAATTAAAGCCATACCTACATCTATATAAAGTCTGTATTGTGTGTATATATGTATGTATGTATAYATATATAGTCTAGCTCATTTCTTATTAAAGACTGTATACTATTTCATTATTTAATTGTTATTAATGACAAAATTTTCTAGTTTTTCACTATTAAAAACATGCTACAATTAATGTCATCTGAATTTGGAAAAGAAAACATATTGGTGGCTTTTATTTTATTTGATTCCCAGCTTCCAAATTTTCCTATGGTCTTAATAGTTAATGTATTGTTTTCATTTTCACTGATAAATTTCAAGTGTCAGTGTGATTAGATAATGTTTAATATATATATGAATTTTGTTACGGAGAGTATAAATGCAAACTGGATAAACATGATTACGCTGAGTAATATTTAATTTTTTGGGGATTGGTACTGGAAGTTGAACCCAAGGCCTTGAACATGCTAGGCAAGCACTGTATCCCTGGGTTACACCCCCAGCTTGAAAATTTTTTAATTAAAGTTATTTTAGTTTTTATAATTCTGAGACAGGATCTCACTAAGTTGCTCAGGATGACCTCTCAAATTTGTGAATATCCTGCCTCAGCCTTGCAAGTAAGCTGGGATTATAAGTGTGTATCACTGTTATTGACTTTCTTAGGAATTTTTAAAAATGCATAATATTGATAGGTAAACATCTGATTTTTTTTCCCCCCTAAGGAGATCTTACATACATTATGTTATTCAGAATGGAGGTGTAGTTTGGTGGTAAAGTGCATGCTTAGCATATGCAGGGTTCTGGGTTTGATCCTCCGAATGCAACCCCTCCCCCCCCCAAAAAAAAAGAAAGAAGTTATGTGTTAAAAATTACAAACAGTGTATGATGCCTTTCTATATTATTTTCCCTTATTAACTCTTTAAAGGATGGACAGTACATTTTAAATGATTTTTCCATCTTTATTCTTTATCTGTAAACTTCATAAGAACACTTAAATGGGTTTTTTTGGTTGATGATTTAAGAAACAACATCATAAAATTTTGTCCATTCCTCATGAACACCAGTGTATAAGTCTTCACATTTTTAAAATATGCTAGGTTGAAGTATTAAGATATTTCCCATGAAATTTATTTAATTAGATTTTTCTTATAAAGTCAGTCCTCATTATTTGTAGATTCTGAATTATAAATTTGCCTGCTTGCTGAAATTAATTTGTGAGTCAAAAATTAATAATTAAATAGATCACTTTCATTCATGGACATTTGCAGAATGGTGAAAAATTTGAGTTGCCTGATGAGTAAGGTGGCACTCTGCCTTCTTAGATTTAATCCTTGTACTATAAACAACTGTCCTCTTTGTGTTCTATCTAGTGCTACTTTGAGGAGGGGGCGCATTTTTGTGCTTTTTTTCTTTTTTGGTGATTTTTCTGTTTACAGTGGCCCCTAAGTGTGGTGGTGAAATGTTATCTAGCATTCTGAGCGCAAGACGGCTATGATATATCTTATACAGAATATACAGGTAACATTTGCTCAGGCATGAGTTAATGGTAATTTGATAATGAATTCAATGTTAATGAATAATAGTATTTATTAAATAAAGTGTCTAAACTGAAACATACATTAAACAAGGTTATGTATTCATCCTTAAGTGAAAACTGTTATGACCAGAGGCTCACAGGAACCTAATCCTGTGTTTCCCCTAGGAACAGTGTTCAGTATTCACTAATTTAATACTTGGATGACTTTTTATAAAACACAGTTGCTGCATATAACAATGATTCAGTACAGGTAAAGTACAATTTGATTTGAAAACCAATTTTCACAAATAACTCCATTGTTTGGATATATATTCACACAAAAATTACAAAATAGGTGACATAGAATTGCTTGGTGATATGTAAATAAAGTTACAGTTTCTCCTTATCATAAAACTAAAATAAAAGCAAACTTTTTTTAAAGTAAGTTTTTAAAATTTTATTTATTTATTTTTATGTGGTGCTGAGGATCAAACCCAGTGCCTCATGCATGCGAGGCAAGTGCTCTACCACTGAGCTACAACCCCAGCCTCAAAAGCAAACATTTTGATTACGCATAGAAAGATTTCACTAAAAAATAATTTGTGGAACTTTATTGACTCAGTGAATCTTTGTTGCAGGGGAATGCTTGGTAAATCTGAAAAATAACTATTGAAAAAAGATTCTGAGTAATCTGAAGAATTTAGAATGATTATATTTAAAGTTCTGTTTTTATAGATTCCTTCGTATTATTAAAAAGATTTCTGAGCTGAGCATAGTGGTGCAGAGTGTAATCCCAGCTACTCTGGAAGCTGAGGCAGGGTAATCACACATTTGAGACTAGTCTGGACAACATAGTGGGACCCTGTCTCAAAGTAAAAAGAATTGTAGCTCAGTGATAGAGTACCCCTGGCTTATTCCCAGTGATGGGGTTGGGGTGCAGGGGAGAAATCTTACCTTTGGTCTATAGCTGGTTTGCTGATCACAACTAGTTCTTGAGTCCAGACCGTGAATGGGTAAATTTAATTTCTCATCTTTTTCTTCCCTTGTTGGCTATAGCACTAGATTTAAACACATTTTAAGGTGTTCACATGTAAATTGAATGTTTTATGTATGGTTTGTGTTTTGAACTAAACCTGAAACAAAAGTTCTGATAACCCCCATTTGAATAATTTTTAATGCTTTATTGGAATCATTTTGTTGTTATTTCTTCTGTCTCTGTCTCCCCAAACTAGRGATTGATCCCAGGACCTTCACATCTACTAAGTATACAGT